AAATTTTTTTAAATTAAGGATTTAAAGATAGTTCACTTATTTACTTATATTATCTTTTTAAAAAATTAAAAGATAAAAATATACTTTTGTGATAGGATGAATAATTAAAATAAATTAATCACAATATACTTAAATCAGAAAAAAAAAATTTGTATATCTAAAAAAATTATTAATTTAGAATACACTTAAAATTAACAAATGACAATTATATTATAAAAGAGGGATAGATAGATAATAGTTCTAATGTTAAAATGTTTATTATTTATTTTATTATTTATATTGTGTAACTTAAACTACATAATAAATTTTCATTTTCACTCTTAAATTAAGTGAATGCATTTTAAAAAATCTACTAAGTTTAATGGGTCAAAACAAATAACATTCGTAATGTTTTATAGATCATTACAAATGATATCGTATTAATTCCACATGTCATCTTAAATAATCATAACTTAACCAAGTCCTATAGTAGTCGGACCGGATCAATTTATACTTGAAATGGTCTAAACTTTAATTCCTAAAGAAAAAAATAGTAAACAGATTATATACTTTATGCAAAATTTAAAAAAAAAAAAAGAGAGAGTTGAATTAACTAACTGAAAATCTAAAATCAAAATAAATTCAATTAGAAGTTGTTCTGAAACTGAGATTTATTAGCTGAGTTGAATAATAGTTATGATTTAGTGACGGAGCTTGAGCAAAATATTTGGGGCCAAAATTATTTTTTCTATAACCTATAAATATAAGTATATAATATACCTAACATAATTTCACTAACTAATCATAAATCTACCATAGCTTATTATAAGTTAAAAGAAAAATTAAAAAAAGTCATTGTATGTAACAGATATTCATATATAATGTAAACTGTACCATTTATATCCATTATATGTAATGGAATCCCTTATTACTTTATTAATAAAAAAAACTTTAAATTTACTCTCCATAATATTTCTCCTTTTCATTTCTCCCATTTTTAATTTTTTTTCCCATCCTCTTTTCGAATTGGCATGTAAATTATAAATTTCATAAGGATTTTATTGTCATTTTACTCATAATTTAAATTTATTGTTAGATTGGCTTATTGCCTTGAGCATCTATCTTAAATGTATTTACACTTTTTAGGTTTTTTTAGTAAATAAAGAAAAGAGCTAATCATTCTTTAACAAAAAAAAAATTTAATTCATAATTATAAAATAGAGTACTCAAAAAGTAATTTATGTAAATTTTAAACTTTTAATTTATATTATTATGTATTATGTAAGAATAGAATAACTTTAAAATTGCCAAAAGCTTGAAAAAAGAGACAGAAATAAACAAGCATGGTTAAATTTAAGATTTTTTTTTTTCTAGTAAGTGTTTTAATTATTTTATAAATAACTAAAATGTATGTTAATTTTTTTCAAGAGATTAGGGGGGTCATGCCCCCAGCCCTACTTATCCACCGCCCTTAGCTATGTAAACAATAATATTGAATTTGTTATTCAATCAACCGGATCCCCGGGTTGGCCGGCCGAGTTTTACAAATTTGACTGGATTTGACCAGATCAACCTTCAAAATGG